TTACGAATTTGTACTCTTGAATTTTATTAAGAAACTTACCCAAAAAAATTATAGTACGGTGGAAAATAAATAAAAGTACCTGGTTGACCGAGCTTCGCTTGGAGTTCATTTTTGTTATATCGTATTTTTTAGATTAAAAAAAAACTAAAAACTTGAATAAATACAAAAAAAACAATAGTTACAACTTTGTATCCGACCGTGATTCGAACCCGGACACCTGTGATTGTCAATCTCGTGCCTTCGATGCTTATCGAACGTGCGAAATTAGCAACCATATGTATTGCGTGGGATAATGCAAGTGAAAGAAATCCGCATGAAAACTCGCAAACACGCGTTTTCCCAGACATAAGGATAACCTACATCGATTTTTGCCCCCGAAACCCCCGACATACCAATTTTCAGCGAAATTGTTACAACCGTTTCTGAGATCGCCGGTATAAATAAATATACAAGAATTGCTCCTTTAAAGGTATTAGATTACTTACAAATACCTAATATACTCGTATATCCTACCGGTCGAGTTTTATACAAGTTTTACATTTAAAATTTCATTATGAGTAGTATATTACCAGTATACAACTCAATAATGATTTTTAAATCACTCTTATTTTTTATTTTAAACAACAGCACATATCTATTCACTGAACGTAACCTATTTATAGTCGTTGTACCAACGAGGCCCAGTGCGCCTTCACCAGTAATACTACATCTATACTAATATTATAAAGAGGTAAAGTTTGTGAGATTGTAAGTTTGTGACGGTGTAATGGGTAATATCTGGATCTACTGAACCAATTTAGATGAAATTTGGTAAGAAGAAAATTTGAGACCCTGGGAAGGACATAGGATACTTTTTTTCCCGTAAATCATCCCTTAAGGGGATGAAAATGGGGATGAAAGTCTGTATTGGAAAGCAAGCTAGGGACGAACCCGAGCGAAGCGAGGGTAAGTCGCTAATTAAAATATAAATCATAACAACAAATCGCTATATAACTATTTATTGGTGATTTTCTTTTTAACATCCGATTAATGAGTTTTTAAGATACCATAAATAAATTAATAACGAAAGTTCAATACCGTGTAATTGGGAGAGAAATAATCGTTGCTTCGACAAGCGACATACATGATCATGTATCGTTATATTGCCTACTGTACTACCGACTATTTACCTACTGTAGTCTAACTGTGATCACTTTCTATGTATTATGTAATTGTTATATATTTTGGACGATTATTTTTTGACATTTTAAAAATGTAATTTCTTATATTTTTATAAAATAACAAAGTGATATTTTACCAAAAATTGATATTTTTACGAGTGTGATGAAGTCGGGTCGAGCGGGCTTTATTGTCCTTCATTTTTTAAGATATCCTTAAGATATGTTTTTGTTATATTTAGCTAAAATGTTTGTTTACTCCATTAAAAAATCTTGGAACTTCTTCATACTGGGTGGGTAGATACTAGGAAATCAAGACCTCAGTCTTAGTAGAAGTCTGTGATAGAATGAAGATGTGATGAAACTTCGAAAATGTTGCTCAATACAATTGGATACTCCTATTGGAATATTACTCAAAATTCATTCCGCGAAGTTTTAAAATTAAACATTTGTCTTTAAGTACTTAACATTTGACAACACGTTTGACTCAGTGTGTAGTGACCCTACTTGCTGTGTCAGCGGTCGCGGGTTCCAGTCCCGCTGGGGGCATTCGTTTGTGTGATGAGCACGAATGTTTGTATCCAGTCATGGGTGTTTACATTTATAATATGTATGTATTTAAAGTTATATATGTGTAGTGTATCAACTGTCTGGTATTCACTACACAGGCCTCGTAGATTACCATGGAACTAGATAGTGTTGTGTGTTAATGTCCCAACACATAATAACCATTTTTGTTTCAATAAAATCATTTTTCATTTTTCGCGTTCTATAAATATTATTATAATATTAAATTTTTGGTAAATGTAAACCATTATAACTTTCATCACATGCCGATGCAGTGGCGACAAAATTTAAAATTATTTATATACTAGCAAAACCCGCGGCTTTGCTCGCGTTAAAACTACAAAAAGTATCTACAAAGGTAGTTTCACTCAAACTTGCATCCCCTATTTTACCCCCTTATAGAATGAATTTCCAAAAAATGCTAAAATACGTATTTAATTAATTTTATTGAAGAGCATTATTACCAAATTTCAAGTAATTCTGATCATATTTTTTTTTTAGATTGTATTATAAAGTGTTTTCCCGTGGGAATTAGATAATCTCCCGTGGTAAAAAGTAGCTTATATCGCTCTCCAGCCCTCCAACTATCTCCACACAAAAAATCACGCCAATTCGTCTCTCCTTTTCGAGGTGAACGAAGGACAAATAAACACACTTTCACATTTATAATATTAGTATGGATGTAAAAAAATCCATTATATACCATTACTATATTTCGTCACTATTATTACACAACAGTTGCGGAAATTCCGTTGCCTGCAGCATAGGGGATAAATGGCTAATTTTTTTTGTTATTACACCAGTTCTACTAATAACTTAATAGTCAATTCAATTACACTTTACACACCAAGAAACAACACCTTGTTGTACACCAAGAAAAAATACATAAACACACAAAGAAAAGACGTACAGAATAAGATTGCCTGATCGCTAAAAGCGATCTCTTGCTGGCAATCTTGAAGTGGAAGAGTAAGTTTTTATAAATACAGTAGGCGGTGCACTTTAATAGATGTGTATCTATTAAAGTGCACCACCGTAAGTAAATTGTAAATAATAAATCAATACATCTTTTCTTACTAATATTATAAATGTAAAAGTTTTGATGTTTGGATGGATGCTTGTTACTCAATCACGCCAGAACGGCTGAACAGATCTGGATGAAATTTGGCACGCAGATAGATTATATTCTGGGATAGCTTTATGTTTAAAGGATGAGAATTCCAAAATTAAACAGTTTCAATTGTAAAATAATTCATATAGAATAAAGAAAAGTGGGAAGATATCTTAAATGATCACAGCGAAGGGAACGAGTATGAGAGTCTTTTAGACACCCAAAACGCTCTTTCAGATAGGAGTTAACAGCACGCAGTAGAGAAGTCATTTGATTAGGTTTCCTATTAACTTACTAATTGCGTCAACGTTTGTCTTAATTTTGGTGCTAGAGAGGTAGGAGATGCAGAGTTTTTATGATTATTTTGACCTCCAACTCCAACATGTATTCTCTCCAACCCCGAGTTTCTTGTATAAATAAAAGAAATTATAGGTATTCTTAAGTGTTAATTGTTATATGAAATGAATAAATTTATTTTCATTTTTTTTTTTTTTTAGCCTTTATTGTTGATACTAAACGTTATAAATTTCATGCATAGAAGTAAGCTATTTTACCTTTCGCTTATAATCTAACAAATTGAATTTCCCGGTTTATTTATCAGCGTATCCTGTGGCATATAGGCACGGTAATGTTCAAACAGTATTCCATCTTCATACAAACGGTCGGAAATCGAGTTATACATACGCGCGTCGCGTTCGGTATACACTCGGTAGACCACGTGCGGGGCTGCCAGATCGTATAATTGGATACGAAAATTGTATGAGATGGTTAAGTTATGTAACTTTTATAATCTATACATATAATAAAATCGTAACTAAGCCGAATCTGTACATTAAATATTTTTTGGAAAATCTTAATGAAATAGACTTTATTATCGATACGGAGGCCGAATCTATAGTTTTTAGTGTTTTTGTCTGCCTGTCTATCTGTCTGTTACCGCATCACGGAAAAACCACTGGAGGGATTTTGATGAAATTTAGTATGATGATAGCTGGTTAGCCGGGTCAATATTGGATACTTTTAACCACGGAAAACTATCTAATTTTTGGGAAAAAATACAAAAACTGCAATGTAAGAGTATACTAATATGTAAAACCTTTTTTTTTTTTTTAACGTTGGGAAATGCATTTACGCACGAAGTGTGGGACTCACCGGCGAAGCCAGTACTACCCACTAAAACCCAACAAAACCTTCCCCCGTCTTAATGGGGCGTCGCAGGATCGCTTACGCATTCAACTACGACGAACCGACGGCAGGTCTGCCGAAGCAGACCACAACAACCATGGGGTTGCTCCACGGTCCACTCTGCTATCAGAGAAGTACCAGGAGCAACCCGCATGGTATACCACCCTCCGAAGAAGGCCGCCTCCCACCGCCCACCGAAGCGGGCCTTCTCCCTGTGCGTTTCTTGGCTTCGTGAGTACACTACTGAGCCCCCCCACCACGACAAGGTGAACGCACGTTGGGGGGGAATATGTAAAACCTAAGCTAACCTAATTTGGTTTTTAGTCATCTGAACGCGGGCGGAGCCGCGAGCAATGCTAGTTTTATACAAAAATAAACATTTTATTCCTCCCGTAACTTCGCTAATGTGCAAAAAGGATTGATATCGTATTTTTTAAAAATAAAAATTAAAGTATTTTTAATTAAACTTTTTATCCGAATGCGGATTCTTTATACCATTAAATTTAACAATAAAGCTTTTCGTACGTCTCAGTCGAGGCGCTAATTTTTTTCAGTCTCAAAATAAGGGTCACATACCACCCTTATAAATTTGAGTTTTTTTTTAATTAAATCTATTAATAATATTTTTTAAATAAACATATAATATTTGAAATCACAAAATTAGAATGAAACTCAAGTAGGTAGATAAAATAAAAATACTGGCCGGCAGGCAGCCCTGTCGCGTGGTTACGTGCCGCTGGGCTGTAGATAATTATTTCAAGGACAGGGCCGAGTTGCAATACTGTATACATAACATTACCGCGATATAGGCCTTTTCCAGCTGTTTCCATGTTTTTTCCAACGAACGAACGAAGTTTTATTAAAATAATCACTTTTACTGCCTATAAGGCGTTTTGTTGTAATACGTTCTTTGAAGTTTTCATTTTATATTACACATCATATTACATACTAATACTTTTTTCACTATACAGGAGTCGGTAATGGCGCTGCATGAGACCCCGATGCTGCGGGGTCCGCCCGGCGTGACTAGCGAGTCGGGACTCGCGCCCAGAGCTGAGCCTGAAGATGAATATCTGGAAGACGTAAGTATACCTTGCTATGGAAAAGATAAATTTTTCATTAATATTGTCTCTAATCTTCATAATAATTTCTAATTCTAATCAATAGAGTCGAGCAGTTATAGCAAGTAGAAATAACAAATAGGTACTTACACTTACTTACATTTTTTTTGTAATACTAGTTTAACCCACACAAATATGCTGTAATTATGATGTGACGTTGATGTTTTATTATAATTTATTATGTTATTGTGTTTCACGACTAATACTAATAAAAAATATTGTTACAGGATGACTTTGAAGATGCAGTTGAAGATCCAACGTAAGTGCATTATCTATACATATTATAAAATTGTAACTAAGCCGAATCTGTACACTAAATATTTTTTTCGAAAATCTTATTCAAATAGACATTATTATCGATACAGAGGCCGAATCTATAGTTTTTAGAATTTTTGTCTGTCTGTCTGTTACCGTATCACAGAAAAACCACTGGAGAGATTTTGATGAAATTTGGTATGGTAATAGCTGGTTATCCGGGTCAACATATGGGATACTTCTTACCGCGGAAAAATATCTCATTTCTGAGAAAAAATACAAAAACTGCATTGTGAGAGTATACTAATATGTAAAACCTAAGAATTTGGTTTTTGGTCATCTGAACGCAGGCGGAGCCGCGGGCAATGCTAGTTAGATATATAATTGAAATAGTTTTTGCGAGTGCTCCTAAGGAGATAGATATAATATACTATTATGGACTTTTCTGTACCTTTTCAAGACCTACAATTTTCTAGTACATTGTTTTGATGTATTTCTTAAGGCTTAGCCAGCGTTAGCTATATTTTCTAAGGACGACACGATAGAACCAGTTCTTGTGTTTTCCCGTGGGAATGAAAAATTTGCCTGTAGTAAAAGGTATCCTAAATGTTGACACGAGTAATAAGTTATCACTACATAAAATTTAGTTAAAATCAGTTGAGTACTTTTTGGGTGAAACAAGCACATCGATTTGTCTATTAGTTAGTTTTAGTTTTATTATAGGTACCTATAGATAAGAATATGTATTGCGAGTGTACTTTAACAGATAAGTATACCTATACTATTGCAGATTTTTGTGTAGGCCTTTTAAAGACCAACATTTTTTTTTATACATTGTTTTGATGTATGTCTTAAGACTTATCCAGCGGAAGATTTCTAAAGAGGACTCGATAAAACATTTTTATTAAAACGAGTTATTGTGTTTTCCCGTGGGAAAGAAAGATTTTCCTGAAGTAAAAGGTATCCTAAATGTTGACCCAAGTAATAAGTTATCACTTTATCAAATTTCGTTGAAATCGGTGCATTACTTTTTGCATGAAACGCGCACATACAAACAGAAATAGACAAAATTTTTAATAACTATTGCTTTGGGGTCTATATTGTGTACCTACATAATACGTTACAGTCATTTATTTCATGTACAGATTTCGCTAAGTTACTGCTTTATTATAGTATAGATTATTCTAAAATATGGTCATGGGTTCTTTTTCTTTTTTCACGTTACAATTTTCCAGCGTGGGTTTTTTTTAAATTAATAATTTATATTTTGTTTGTGGTTTTTTTTTTAATTTTAATAGTAAATGCAATACATTTATTTTAATATTAAACTGCCTTAGTTTTACTTGAGTAGTAAATCCAAAATAACCGTTTTGGAGAATCATATGTAAACTATAGTGACCTCTGGCGGTCTGTAACATTATAAAATTTAGCTAAGAACATGCTCAGGAATGAGACTTAAAAAAAAGCAAAAAACTGTTTCAAAATGGGCCTAATGTTTCTGAGAAGAACGTTAACAGACACACAAACACGTCTTACACCAAACGCATATACCGTCTCCGTAGCCATCGCGGGTAAAAATATACGAAATTATATTATACAGTGGAACCATGATAATTCGAATGTTAAAGTAAATGTTAATAATTTTCAATTCTAATGACTTTTTAGCTTAGCAAGTATTTCGACATACAAAGGTTTACAACTGCAATTTTAATTTACAATTGCATATTTTCTAAGTACCACATATATTTATAAACATTTCTAGTTTTATTAAAGTAAATTACCTGGGCTACCGAGCTTCGCTCGGAGTTTTTGCCCTAAAGTACAATTTTCTTTTTTTTATAAAAAACTAAAAACTTGAATAAATAAAAAAAAAACAAAAGTAAAAACTTTGTATGCGACCGAGATTCGAACCTGGACACCTGCGATTATTGATCTTGCACCTAAATAAATACCTAAATAAAAATAGTTTATAGGGAACTTTTGGTTTTTCGAGTAAATTAGTCTAAATAGTTCATATATACTCGTATGTATATCGCGTATTTAGGGTATGTTTTAAGTTTCAACGGTTGGGAATACATTTTTTCGCCTTACGACTTAACTAGGTTCCCGATATTTTTAAATTTTACTGTTCATGTTCGTTCGTAGTATTTTATCTACGAAATATACTATATATAGGTACTACAGTTAGTTTTGTACCCTGAGTTCATCCCATGATTGCTGGCACCGTCTATTGAACGATTATTTTTACTACATAACTTTGCTGACGTATAGTATTGTTTTATATTTTATTTGTAATTACTTCCTACTTTTATGTTGAAAATATATATACGAGGACTGTGCGTTTTTTTTAAATTATCAAGCATAAATAGATAAATATATCAGTAATTAATAACTATTTACTTATTGTAATATTATTTAAAATAATAATATTCGAGTACATGAATATATGCACACAAAGCTTAATGCAAATAAAAATTCCACAGATGTATATTCCTGTTTATTCAAGTTGTGAACATCAAATTATTATAAACATAATATTAAAATGAAAACATAAACTGTAAATCATGTTTCATGTTGTTTAAATTTTGAATATCCTACCAGAAAAACCAGTATTGACCTAAATACTTTCATATATTGCAATTTTGTTGAGAACAAATTGAGCGTGCTTATTATATTAATTTTGCATTGCAATGAATTTATAATTTAATTTTATGCATCAAATTTTTGGCAGATATCATAATGTAAAAAGGCTTAGGTATATTTTGGGTGCCTTGGAAAGAAAGTGCACAAGCATGCGAGCAAAAGCAAAAGAGCACTCCCTATTTCTCTCTTTCCCAAATTCCGGTGCGAGGACAATTTCAGACGACCGGCACAGTACCAACGGGTGTACGTGCACCTCGAGGCAAAGCCCGCAAGGAGGTGAAACTCTGCCAATTTCTCAACTGCGGACTATTACTGAGAATTGCTTGACAGAAAATCCCAATAGCTTTAGTTACTTTGCTCTACCTAGAAATCGAATCAGAGACCTATGGGTCTGCTGTATATACTAGACACACTACAGTTATAGTAATAGGGGACATGTTTACACAAAAACGTACAATCACTAATACATAAAAAACACAAGTGCATAACGTTATTAAATAACTTCGAGGCCTTGCATTTATCGACCGGGGTTTTACCTATTCTAAGCATATACGAGTACTCGTATGTACCTAATATTCCACTGCAGTTTTTAAGCTATATTATTCAGGATATCGTTAGTAACGTCTAATCGATATTGTATCGTCTATATGTGCATTTCGTTATTTTATTATAACAGAACTGCGGAGCCTTCCATAAGCCTACGTGAAGCGTTGTCGGACTGCCAAAGAGCTATTACTCTTTTCTTCAACAATGATTTAGCAGAAGCAATTGCGATTATGAGGCCATGGTAAGTAAATATATTAATCTTAATTGAATGATATCTATACTTAGCAAAGTAAATATACACTTAATTAATTATTATTGTTGAACATGATACTAGTCACACATGTGCAGAATGGCAAGATCGTTCAAACCTTCCTCGTAGAATCACAATTCAGAGTATTCGGCCCAAAATATGCGAAAAATCTTGTCTGTAATGGGAACAATAGTAAGTACAGTCTTTAGAATGTACTTATTAGAGAATTTTAAAAATAAATCATGGTGCAATCAAATCATACGGTTCAAAAACAAATTAAAGTGTCTATGGAATCAAAAATCTTATATATTTAAACGAGCTATTCTTGTATATATATATATATATCAATATATAATCTGAATCTCGGAAACGGCTCCAACGATTTTCATGAAATTTAGCACGCAAGGGGTTTCGGGGGTGATAAATCGATCTAGATTAGTCTTATATCTGGAAAAACGCGAATTTTCAAATTTTCATGCGATTTTCTTTTGCATTTTCACAATTTTTGCATTGTCACTTCTGGTGAGTGAGCGGCGCCACTATGCAACTGTCAACATCGTGTCCGTATTTACATCAAGTTTAAATATATTTAAGTGAAAATAATCTAAAGAAAAATTAAATCTAATCTTAGTAAATTTTTAAATAAAACCTATGGGCAATATGTAAACATCACCAAGTCTTGATGTGTTGAAGAACAAATCAGCTTTTAAAAATTCACCTACCAAACAAATACAAAAGTGACAAACATAACATATAGATACTATCAGTGCAAAACCATCTTTTCTGTGTGTGATGACAATAAAACAAAATAATTTGTGAAGTGAAAGCGTCAAATATTAAAACATAAGTTTATAACCTCAAAAACTAATAGGTACTCGGTATAAAATTGCAATTCAACTAGGTATGATTGGTGCTCTTTTTCAATCAGCTTTTCTACTTCCAACTTCACACTTAAGATGGAGAACATAAAAAAGTTGCTAATAAACATGCAACAAGAAATAAGACAGCAGAAAACAGAAATGTTAGAAATGTTGGAAATGAAAGAAGACATTAAAAATACAATCAACAATAATATACTTAAATGAAAAATATAAACAGTTAGAAATAAAAATTGAAGTTCTTGAGAAAAAAATCCAGGAACAAAGTACCTCAATAAATAATTTAGAAAGACATATTAGGCGCAAGAACTTGGTTATGTTCAGAGTAGAAGAAGGTGAAAAATCCTATCATGAACTAGAGGAAAAAATAGTCTCAAACTAAACGGAAATAAAAAAGAAGTCTGCCTGTATCTCCAGAAACGCCTTACCTCAATTATAAACAAAAACTAACAAATAAACAACATACAAAGACAACCATACCTGGTAATATTAAAGACTTTATATTACAAAACCCAAAATTCACTTTCAACCACACAAATGATAACCAGGAACAACAAAAAACAACACAGCAAGATATAGTATATTAAACACCGTAGGAACCTCCTCATCTTTATCCACCAGTACGGCCGGTCACTGTGGGGGAGTTCGACCGTAACCCTCTAAAGAAAAACAGACATACAATGAACAAAGGTATACATATCTTTACCAGAAAAACTTCTAGAATTAAAAGCAGCATTTCCTACAACAAATCAAAAGAACACAAAGATAAAATTATAAAATTTATAGGCATATCAGAAAAAAATTATATATTGAAAACAAAATTTGAGAGAGAGAAACCCTTTGCAATCATACAAGCATAATCTCCAACGGAGAGCTCTATGCAGGACTACTTTGGAGGAGGCTTTTAACCGAGAGGGGTCTATACATGAAAAATACATTTACTAAATAAATACATTTAATTATGAAATGAAATACCTAATTTATAACTATTGTCAGAATTAATCTATGGAAAGAAATTTTATTTATATTTATTATTGTGAAATGTTTAGTATTTACTCAATTGAATTATTTAATTTATTGTGATTTTTTATTTATTTATTTGTTAATGATAATTTATATATATACAATATCATTTCAAATAATATGAAGATTTTTAAAATAATTTAATTCCAGATTACAAAATTATTAGTAAAAAAATTATAAGTTAATAAATAGTCATTAAATTATATAATTTTATATTTCAGCAATGTGATAAAGACATTTTTTTTTATTGTACAACTAAAATGGATCCTTATATACTCTTAACCAAATAAAATTTTAATGGAATACTTTTATAAAAAGCTGTGCATACTTTTAAATTAAATTTATATACAGATAGGTAAAATTATAATGTTAAATAAATGTTTTTATGTAAATTTAGTTAGTAAGCCTTTATAATAAATAAATGAATAAATAAGTAGAGCTTTATTATTATTATGATTTCTTTTGCATTATTTCAATAAATTAATTAATAATTCCACGCTATATTAACTTATATTATTATTATGTTCGATAATTTCGCACATTCAGATATAAGCATCATGGTCAAGCGGCCAATGCGCAAGTTTGACAACCACAGGAATCTGAGTTCGTATCCCGGTCGGGCACAAAGTTTTTAATTTTGTTTTTTTTTTATGTTATTTTTTTGGCCAAAAACTCCGAGCAAAGCTCGGTCGCCCAGGTACTAAATATATAATAGACAAATGAGTACTTGTTATGAGTAGGTATACCGAAATGCCTGTGCAAAATACTTCTTATAAAGAAACTATTATATTATATTTAAAGCTAAATAAAAAAGCAGGCTAATCAGATTACAAAACTTTGTGTATGTGTGTGTGCGTGTGCATGTGTGTGTGTGTGTGTGTGTGTGTGTGTGTGTGTGTGTGGGTAAGTTTAATGTTTGTTACTCCTTCACTAAGAAACTACGGGACGAATTTGGACAAAATTGACTACACACGTAAACTATGACCTGGAGTAACACTGCTACTGCTAGACATCTAGGGACGCGCCAAGCGAAGCGATGATAAATAAAATCTTATCTGTTTGATTGTAATTGTCTTAAATTTTTTATTTTGTAGGAGACAAGTATCCCTTTATCATGCTCACGGGGCAGCAATTTTCGAATTCATCCCGGCGTTGTTGACTCTCGAGCCATCACAGATCCAGCGTGCTCAAGACGCCTTACGTCATACATTTAATTTATGTTCAAGAGAGCGCAGAAATTATAGTTTTGTTCAGTCTATTGGAGCAATTATAAAAAAGGTAAATGTCTCAATTGAATACGTCCATTCACTTGTACATATAATAGGTATAATTAAATGGAACAATTGTAATTAATATAACTAAAAACATTATTTCTGAAAATTTAATAATCATCTCAATGACATATAATATGTTGGACATTTAGCCGAACTATGGTGGGTATACTGAAGAGGAAGCCCACGCGGAATTGATTCATTCAGAGGCGATGTTGCTGTCCGCGTGTCTCAATACTTTAGAAGGCGAAGAAGTGAGTAGCTTCCTCAGGGCCTCCATGCGAGTCAAATCGTCTTATAATGGCTATAGGTAAGTAAAACATTCACCGTTATGAGAAAATATCAACATAACCAAATACGTTTTACATAAATGCAAGTAGCTGTTTCTCGTATTCCAATTACGCAACGTTTTAATCAATCAAAGCAATTAACGAAATCAATATGTAAAAATATTATATTACGAATATATTTAACGTGAAACTGTAATTAAAATAACATGCATCATTACAGAGCACAAAAGGACCGAAGATGAAAATAATTTTCACGAAACAAATTTTGTTTATCAACAGTGTTTCAGCTCAGTCAAAATATTACAACACGATTAAACTGTAGGCACTCTATAATATTCCATTATATTACTTTTAATACGTCGTACCTACACATGTCTGTAGCTTGATTATTATTTTTCGTTAAGGTATAAAACACTATCTTTCCGCAATCACAAGTTTACGAAACAAATAAAATGTACCAACATGACATAATCCAACTCTTGCATAAGTTCCGTCTTCACATTCTAGTATTAGATACAAAAACTAGGAAACTAATTGCCGGACTGGTAAATGCTATCATAATAGTAAGGCAGGTATCGTTTCATTCTTTCTTGGAATTTTAAACGTTATTAAAATACTCGTAAGCCAAATTTTATTTGACGATATAGTAGAGGAAAAAACTATTATGTTATGCAGTCGGTATAAAATAAGTTAATGATGAAATAATACACTACCTCCCATACTATAAGATACCCATTCATATCTTAGGACCTGTGCCAAGATTTTAGAAAAAAAAGAATGGGAAGATGAGTCATCTCGCGTACACTTCGAAAGCGGTGTACGCCTTGGTCTTGCCACATTTAACGTAATGATTGCGATGTTGCCACCCAAAGTTATTGCTTTATTAGAATTCGTCGGGTTTTCTGCTGATAAGGTAAGATATGTTCTAAATATACGTATTTATACATTTTTAGTTTTTAACATATAAACGTTTACCGCGAATAATGCTGCTCATGACATAATTGCAAAAGTTTGTAAGCCAGTGAGTGAATGTGTTTATTATTCATGCAAGCTGTAATGCTTTGAGCGCTGTTCCGAATGGAAGTAACACATATTTTTATTAATATATAAACTAAATTTTTTACTTTTGCCAACATATGTTTTTGTCTCTTTATACATGCACACTGCACAGTGCAATGCGAGCAATCCATTGGATAGATGTGGAGAACGACGATTGTGTAATCAAGTTATTATCAATTTCGGTCATTGCTAACCATTTACATACTTACCAGATCTCTAGATCATATTTGGGTACAGAAATAAAAATATATTTGTAGGAGAAAGGCAGGGAGGAACTTATGGTTGGGGCCACTTCACCGGGATTGCGCTCAGTACTCTGCCAGCTAACATTGCTGATATACTATTTAGTGATTGGCCAGTTCGCTGCTATACCACCTGACTTCATCGTAGCTGAGATGTTGATCAACAATGGCTTACGAGTACGTATAAGATAACCGAGTGAATTAAATTGGCTCCCAGGATGCATTACGTCATGACATTTGTTGCTATATATTTACTTTCCAACATACTATAAATTAGAGTATGTAGTCATATAATTTAAGATAAACATTACTTATTAACAAAGTAACGAAAACAAATCTATATTTACAAGGCTTCAGGGTTTCACGACGACTTTTCAACGTCTTGTATTGTTTAGGAAACACCAAGTTTAATTACTTGCGAAATATTGATGAAATTAAGAAAGTATAAACTTTCTTGCAACTTGCAATAGTTGTGTATTTTAAGGAATACCTAATATTTGTTGAGAAAAATGTAATAAATGTCTGTTTATGTAGAGGTTGTGTATAGCACAATATCAATGCGAAATACTAATCAAATACCAAAGTTCATATCGCAGAGCTTCCATGTTTATATTATTGAGACTTAATTAAATATCACATCGATCCCACAATTCTATATGAAGTAGACGACGATATAAAACAGATTGCACTTTTCCTAACAAAATAAGCAAAAAAATTGTGAACCAATATTATTCAAGAACCATTCGCTTCATGTTGATATTTTCATGCACATTGGCGTATACAAACACAATTTATTTTTTGTGGCATACAAAAAATAAATGTTATTTAATAGGAAATTTTAAATTGTGGTTCATTAAACAAATGTTTATATTCTATTTTATATATATATATATATATATATATATATATATATATATATATATATATATATATATATATATATATAGGTTATATGGATATATGTACATAGTGCGTAATTGCATTTTTTATTTCCAATAAGTCATATCTACTTATATTTACGAGTATATATAAAACAAAGTCGGGTTTGTTATAACACTTATAACTCGAAAACTTCTGGACCGATTTTTATGATCTTTGTTTTGTTTTATTTGTCTTCACCCCAAATAGCAAAATAACTATTAAAACATCGGAAAAATTCTCGATAAAAAAAATTGAAAAAAAAATATATATTCCATACAAAGCGTCAAAACGTACCTAGGGACGAACCGGAGCGAAGCGAGCGTGAGTCGCTAATAAAATATAAATCGTTATCCCAATAGAATACCTTATCTTTTATTATTTATATTATCTTTTATTTTTATAATTCACTTGGGATTCGTTTTTTAAATGTAACAGCATAAAAGTACGAGTATATAGTTTAACCAGCGGCTCTCCCTCGCTTCGCGCGGGTTTGTCTCTGGGTACGTTTTAACTGTTGGTATGGAATAGATAGACTGTATATTATATCAGTAGAATATACATAGGTATGATGAGTTGCTGTGGATTATAATGTGCTTTCCCGTGGGAATGAGATAATCTCCCGCGATAAAAAGTCTATATCTAGCCTATGCCACTCTACAGCCCTCCAACTACACCACAAAATCTGTCACTCTATTTCGACGTGAAAGAAAGACAACACATTTTCACATTTATAATATTATTATGGATATTATGGATATGTTATTACAGTGCAATTTGTCTTTCCTTGGGTGTCAAATAGTGGTCACCCCAAGACGTCGAGTTATAATTTGGCTAAGATATACATACAATATACATATCTGTATACCGTAAATGTGAAAGTTTGTATGTATAGATGTTTGTTACTCTTTCACACGCCAGAATGGCTGAACGGATCTGGATGAAATTTGGCACAGAGATAGATTATAGTCTGGAATAACACATAGGCTACTTTTTATTCAGGAAAAACATACGGTTTCCGAGGGATAGATTTGTTTTTGTTTTTCTAGAGACGAACCCGAACAAAGCGAGGGTGAGCTGCTAGTATATTAATAATTAATATGTATATTAAGTAATGCAGGTTAACAAAAATGCAACTTTATGTTTTTATGATGATTTTATGATTTGGTTATGGAATGTTTTACAGACATACGAGTACGTATCGACGTCATAATGTAATAGTCTGCATTGTTATCGGGTTTCTTACATTTTTAATTAGGTTATCCGATTAAGCTTATTCAATTTTATGAATTGCATTATTTATTTCCTTTCTCAGAAAAGTAGCGCTAGTAAAGAGCTCATTATATTATTTATTCTTATTACTGTTTTATAATAAATAAAAGAAGCTAGTATAAATCTAAGAAAGTATATGGCTTTATCAGTTCTAATTATTAAAATAAAGGTCCATGTATACACTTATCTTACTTGTTTTAAGAAAATAAATATATTATTTTTATTATATTACAACTTTAGAGTTAACTTTATACTTAGTATGCTATCAATTCTTTCGACGTTGAGTACCTACAATGTGGTATTAAAATTCTGCAATTTAACAAGTATTTCTTCTAAATATTTCTGTAAATTCTAAGTAGGTATAGATCTATATTCATAACTTACCGTATACTGTAATTTTCATCAAAATCGGTTATCAAAATAAAAGTCAACATATCTAATATATTTAAACGAGCAATTCTTGTACATTTATTTATACCGGCGATCTTAGAAACAGCTCTAACGATTTCGCTGAAATTTGGTATGTGGGGGTTTTCGGGCGAAAAATCTATCTAGATTAGTCTTATGGTTTTCTTTCACATTATTCCACGCAAAATATGGTCGCTAATTTCGCTCAGACATAAGCATCGTGGTCAAGTGACAAGATTGCCATTCACAAGTGTCCGGGTTCGAATCCCGGACAGATATAAGATTTTACTTTTGTTTTTTTTTTTAATTTATTCAAGTTTTTAAGTTTTAAAAAAAAGAAAATTGTACTCGTGACCAAAAACTCCGAGCGTAGCTTGGTCGCCCAGATACTTAAATCTAAATAATGTATATCCATACATTATTAAAAAAATATATACTTATTTTTATTATATTAACTATATATCTCGTATATACGTACATTGTAGTAAAATATCGAAGTGACTTATTGTTTTTTACAGGAATTCCCAAATAGCGTATGGTTCACAATGTTCAAAGCTCGAATGCAAATGTTGAGAGGAATGATTGAGGATGCAGTCGTTACTTACGAAACTGCGTCAAGTACTACCGATATGTGGCCTCAACTGAAACATCTCACTTACTGGGAAATGATATGGGCTTTAGCGTAAGTATAAATAAAAAATTATAAAAGAATGTTGTATATTACAATAATAAATGGTCCCTGATCTAGGTGAATAAGATTTAGGGTTCTGAAAAACCTGAAAAAGGAATAAAGAAGCCCTTTTAGGGACCCTTCGTTGTCTGTCTGTTTCTACGTTGTTTGTATGTTAATAGGTATATACTAGTAATTACAATTTACAAATTGGGCAAGCAAGGTCTTACTCACGCGTTCCGATCGTAAAATTACATTTACATTGTTTCTCTAAAAATACTTAATTTTTTATGCCGATAATAAAATTAATATTGTAATTGGCTAAATATTTTTACTTTTAACGTAACAAATTACTTAGATATATAAAATGTATATATTTTATGCTTATTGCTAAAGTAACCTCAGATCGCGAGTCTGACTTGCACTTGCCCGTTTTTTTTTAATCTAACGCTAATTATAACTAAAGACAAAACCTAATAACCACAAATAAATCTTTACGATTTATTTTAATTCCATGTAAACCTACATATTTTATATTACGTCATACTAATACTAAAGAGCTTAATGAATTTACACATAAGAATGATTTTCCTTAATACAAATATCTTACTCGTACATACAATTAATATTCATAACTTTTTTATGTATTTATATATAATAATTATTTATTAATTATTAACTGTTTCGGCAACAAACGTCCAATGATCTATTATAGCATGATGCTGAAGTGGGAGGAAGCGGCAAAATACGCATTTTTTCTATCGGAACATAGCAAGTGGTCGAAAACAATTTACGTATACACTGAAGCCGCAATGACTTTGGAACGTGGACATTTACTAAGCATTGACGCACGTAAACGCGCGGCCGATCTCCTAATGTAAGTTATTACTAGTTTGTCAATTACATGATTTTTTTTTCTCTTTTGCGCAGTTATTATTTTTTTTATGTTGTGTTGATGTTATTGGAGAATATTACAGAATTTTAAGATAAGAATGAAGATGGTGACTAAGCATTTTGATGAATTAATTTATAATTAAGTTCGTGAAAACATATAAATTATGTATTTTACTTTTTTGTAGCAAATTTATCTATTAATGTCAGAATTTTTAGCGAATTGTACGTTATCATGGCCTCAGATGGATAGTTGCCCAGCAATATTTATGGATTCATACAATTCAACATTTTTCCTGGATAATAGAAAAAGGCCAGTGAAAATACTCCTTACCAGTCTTATAAGCTACTACGATTCACCTTCGCTTCGCTCGGTTCGTCCCTAAGTTGATTCCCCATACAAACTTTCATCCCCATTTTCACCCCCTTATGATGATTTCGTCTAAATCGCTCCAGTAGCTTTTAGAGTTTATTCGTTACAAACATACAAAAATTTTCCTCTTTATAATAGTAGTGTAAATAAGTATATAAATTATAAGTCTTTATTAGTTTCATTTGTAATTAAATTTGTAATCAAATTTAGAATTCGATTTTAATCTACCTCTTACAGATTTATTTAATAACATCGAACAAATCTGATCATGGAGTTAAGAGGTGGATTGTAGTCTTTGATAGTTTGGGTTAGTGGCTTTCTTGATTCGTTCTGACGAGTCTCATACATTACAGTTGGCTAAAGGGCTGTTTTATTAAGTTTTATATAAACTATTATTTTATATAGCTTCTTACTCTCGCGATTTTGTTCGCAATTTCATAGGTTTTAATTTTTTGCGATGAACCCTAATTCTTTTTCTTAAATAAAAGCAGCCTAAGTAACTCCTTAGAACATCAGCTATCTGCCAATAAAAGTCTCCTCAAAATCGGTTCAGCCGTTTCGGAGATAGCTGGAACAAACCGACAGATAGACAGAGAAACATTTTCAAATTTGTATTTTTCTTATAAGTACTATATATATTTATTTCATATACATTTACAAAAAAATCTGTTATTTTGGCATTAGTAACAGACACTTTAATTTCATTTATCTGTATATTATATTACATCTAAATGTGGCTCTATCTGTTTTGTATTCTGTACATATTATATACTAGCGACTCACCCTCGCTTCGGTCGGGTTTGTCCCTAGGTTGATTTCCCATACAAACTTTCATCACCATTTTCACCCCCTTAAGGGATAATTTCTGGGATAAAAAGTATCCTATGTCGTTTCCATGGTCCCAAACTATCTTCTCACCAAATTTCATCTGAATCGGTTCAGTAGATCCAGAGATTACTTCTTACAAACTCACAAACTTTACCTCTTTATAATATTAGTATAGACAAAAGATTAGCCGACTGAACTCTGCGTCACCGTGTTAAGCTTTTACCAGGCTGCGCCGGAGTGGCGTCCGACCGATGCGCGCCCAGTCTAAGCTCAACCCTATTTAATATGCTCGACCATATAATTATGTAGATGTGAGTTGTGAGCTCAACTTACAATCATTAGTGAAAACCGCACCCAAATCCGTGAAGCCATTTCTGAGATTAACGCGCACAGAGAACCCGATAAACAGACATAAAATCTAAAAATAATTGTTTAGGATTCCATTGCTATAATAAAGACCTCCAATAATGGTTTTTCTCAAATATGTTCCATGTACAGACAGCGATCTGTTACACTTTTATTATATAGATTATAATTATTATATCATTGCACTGGCAACATTTTTATTGTTTTTATATGTGTCTCCTTATGTATAGAGAAAGTGTTAAAAATTAAAACAAATTGTGTCGAAAATATGAAAAGTTTTTATATATGTTTGTCCTCAATCTCAGATTGTCAGACACGATTTACAATAGCAAAGCCAGTCGCCATCCATAATAGGAAGCAAGCTTAGAATGTCATTAAGTTAATTAGAATTGGTATATGAAGCGTGACGATTCGCATAGACTATATAACCGTAAATATCAATATCAAGATTAATTAAATTTACGTACATTTTGTAGCAAATCAACATATATGTCACATTCAAAGAGACTAATTAAATAGTTATAAAAATATATGTACTTATTTCTTTTATCTCTTAGTTGTTTCATATAATTACGAACGTTTAATTCATTATTTTTTATTGCATGCAGGTATGTTTATTTTGGCTTTTTTTTATTATTTTTGTTAATTTATTTTGTGGCATTCTGTTCCTTCATGACAGGAGTGCGTCATGTTATAGGCAAAAGATTCTAGGGCGGTCTCTGCCCATGGAGAAGTTTGTGATCCGTCGTTGTGAGCGTTGGTCCCGACGAGGCTATCTGGTGCTGCCCGGCGTCGAACTGATATGTTTATGGAATATTTTTCCACATCTAGCCGCCGAGCCACACTACGCTGACCGAATGCTTAAGGTACTTATTATATTCATATTTTGTTTTTATTTTCATGTATTTTTTGTGTCTAACTGTGTGTACAAATAAAATATTATTCTATTATGTTCTTATTACTGATAAGTGACAATGTTTAATAGCACTAGTGACTTACCTCCCTTTGATCGGGTTGCGTCCATAAATGTTTGAAATACTCGTTGTCTATGTGCCATGTGAATTTCAGGAGTAACAAACATATAAACCTTTGCATATATAATAATAGTCCGTTAAGTCAACCAAAATTCGTTATTTTTGTACGTTAAAGTTTTTTAGTTGAAGTTCCACAGATAGATAACCTGTAGATCTAAATCTGTGTATAAAATTGATGAAATTATAGACTACAACTTTTATTAGCGGAGTAAATATACATAAATAAACTATGGAGAGGAACCGTTGGCAAAAGCAAGTCAATAAATTACAGCTTTCTGCGGTTGTTCTCCATATTAACTTTAACTAAGCCAAAGCTCATACTTCTCCGTAAGGGAGGGCAATTTGGTTTAAAAGTGTAACAAAGTTTTATCATCTTTATATGTAGATAACATTTTTAAACCACTTAAAAAAAGAGGAGATAACTTATAAATATACTAAAAAACAAAAACAAGTCTATTCCACGGGAACTGTCCACTTTTCCGGGATAAAAAGTAGTCTATTTGTTATTCTGATGTATGAACTATATTATTGTAAAGTTTCTTCAAAATCCATTCAGTAGTTGCGTGAAAGAATAACAAACATACATCCATACATATATTCTTACAAACTTTCGCGTTTATAATATTGATAGGATTACTGAGTAATACTTAATAATAAAAGTACGAGTAATTATTACTCATTAAGACTTATTACTTACCCTCGATTCGCTCGAATGCGTCGTTAGATGCGTTTTATATAGATAAAAATATTTATTGCGAGTGTACCTTAAGAGATAAAAATATACTGTTGCGGAATTTCTGTAACCCTTTTTAAGATATACAATTCTATAGTACATTATTTTGATATACATATCTCGTAAGGTTTAGCCAGCGTTAGAAATGTTATCGCTCAAAAATATGTTTTATACAACATCATTACAAATCTTTGAAATTCTCAGCTTTTCTCTACATACATTTTTTTATGGTATACAGTGACAAACGAGCAGACAGACCACCTGATGGTAAGCAGTACGTGTCGCCCATGACACCTACGGTTCATGCACTTAGGTTTTATGTAACAAAAATGGAGACCCGTAGGTGCGTTATCACTGTGAGGCAACCTTATCCTTCAAACCGGAACATAACAATGTAATTATTGTTGCTTGGCGGGAAAAATTGATAAGGGGGTGGTACCCATCCTGTCGGACTCCTCGGGCTTGACAGAGTCCTACCACCGGTAAAATACACGCATGTTATATACATACATATAATATGCGTGTATAATACATATAAACCTTCTAGAAGAAAATTTCTACATGATAGTGAAAACCGCATCAAATTCCTTTACGTGGCTTAGAAGAAGTTACCGGAGAAACAGACAGACGAAAACAGCGACTTTGCTTTATACTATGTAATAGCGGCTGACTAGGTACGTTTTGACGCTTAGTATGAAATAGATAGACTATACCAATATACATATTACATAGGTATGATGAGTTTTATATTAAAACACTTGAAATGATTGATTCCTCATATAAACTTCCACCCCCCTTTTTCATCTTCTTAGGGAATGATTTCCGGGATAAAAACTATTCTATCTCCTTCCCCGGAATATAATGTATATCCTTGCCTTTCATTACGATCCGTTCAATCGTGAAATGGTAACAGACAAACAAAAAGAGTTACTTTCGTATTTATAATATTATATAGTTTTCAAAAGACATGTGAAGTCCGCCAATCCGCACTTGGCCAGCATGGTGGACTACGGCCCGATTTCCCTCGTACTGAAGGGAGGCCCGTGCTCAGCAGTGGGACGCTAAAAAGGGCTGAATACATACCTACACATTTCAAATTAATAGTTTTAATCTTAATTAAAAGTGTTAGAGTATACATAATATTATGTAGAAAATATTAAAAAATAAACGAAAATGTCTAAAATTCGATTAAGCAAAGAAATGATTAATTTTATTAATATCGAAGCAATTTTGTTGCGATAAAATAACCAAGATAAATTTTTGAAATTAAATTTGTTAAACAACGTTGACCTGACACGATAATAAAAAAAACATATTTTAACCATGAAAATTAACACGGTGTTGCCAATTTTTTGATTTATTTTAATTCTAATATCAATTGAATCTCATTGATTGACATGATTTTAAGTATTTGCCCATAAGTAACGATGAGAAAACATAAAATATTATTTTAAAACATTCTATTAAAAATACTTTCAAATAGTTCTTTATAACAGATTGTTTTGTTAAACTTTATACTGAGTCTCCTATAGTAAAATATTCCAAAAGCGTATAGGTATGGGAATGGCATTCATAACAAACACGAATCGCTCGCGCTAAAGTTTCCAATAATTGGAAATAATTGAAATTATTGCATTCATCACTGAATATTTAGTGACTTTATTTGTCTACAGTTTAAATATAATCGATATTTCTGGATTTTTAATTAAGAATAAATATTTAAAAAAATAATCTAGAAGTATTAGAAAAGAAATATCTTTCTCAATAACTAAAGATAAACTATTTTCTTATGATCTCTAGATAGGTTAAGATACTTAAAGTTTTGTTTTGAATTGCAAGGATTGTATAATTTATTGAGAGATTTGACTGATGAAAATAAATTCAGTAGGTAAGTGTTTTAAACACATTGGTTAGAGTAAATTGAAATATTAACTTGTTTCACTGATTCTGAGCTAAGAATTCAATGAGAACTTTTCATAGACGGCAAGGCATAGACAGCAAGGTTTTGGAAGGGATAAAAGTACATATGATGTGATATCAAGTTAAATGCAAAACGCATTATTGTTGTTGCCCACCTACATATTTGATCATGCTGTACGCGAGATGTCTGCGTGAAGGTTATGTGAAAGGCTAATAATAAACAATTATAATTAAAAAAATAACAATAAAAGGGTTAACCAAGAAGTAAAGAAAAATGTTTAAAATCTAGGAGTGAGTGGTCCGGGCTCACCATATATAAAAATAAATAAATATAAAAATAAATACAGGGCCGTGAATCACTGAGAACTGGGGTGTAAAATAAAGGAAAATTATGTAGGTACAAATTAAACGAGGAACTTTTAAGTTCATGTAACAAATTTCGAGAGAAGATAAATATTAAAAAATATTACTATATTGCATTAGATATGATATGTAATAAGTTCATGTTATTTATTAACTTGTTGTTGTAAGTTGTTGTTGGTTATTACTAAAAATACTACAGGTTTTATGACGTATACGAAATAAAAATGTAAACGAAATAAAATCGCATGCGTATCCTGGACCGACTTAATAATACAAGTAGGTATATATGTGTAATCTAATCATGATTATGAGATTATAATCTTTTTTTTTAAATTAATTTTATATTTTTCCACTATTTAATTTAAAAATTATATAAATATAATAAATTAAATGTATTATTATTATATAAGATTCAGGGTTCCTAAAATATTATATTAATTATATTTCATTTTGTAATGTCCATATTATTGATAACAGTATTAGATGACCAATATTTTATTATAATGTAATGTACATGTAATCAGAAGTATTTTTTTATTATATGTACCTATCAACAAATGATGATGATCCTTTATATGATGTTGTATATTGTGTGTATCTTTTGTTGGAGATCCTAATTAAAATAAAATATAATATTGGGTAATGCGTAAGTGAAGCAGCAATCCTTTGATAAGACATTCGATATCGATCGATAACAATCATAATCGACAAACCGTATATGTTAAGTACCCTCGAAGTGCGAAAACCCTAAGTTGTGTCAATATGCCGTCCCCCTAAAATCTTTGCTTAAAGCGCTTCAATTGACTCTCATTATTAATAAACAGAGCCCAATAATTATGTTTTTCCAATAAAAGTACTTACGACTTCAATTGGTTCTTTGTTTGTTTGTTTTCGCATGTAATGCGATTATATTACATTACATCAAATTTGTAATATTATATTACATCAAATTTGCAACAAAATTGGATAGGTTAGATATTTTGTATTATCAACAGTTAATAGTTACAGAGTTATTTAGTCATTTATGGTACTTTTCGTAAGAGTTGATTGGTTTAGCTTCGTTTGATTACTTTGTTTGATTTGCATAGGTACGCCAAAAACAGGTACTAACATATTAAGTAATTGTTGTAATATGATGCTGTGATATCCTGTAATATTTTATTATCTGTAACATGCTGGAACACATCGGCAACATGACAAATACCTACATGTACGACCAAACAAATATTTGGCCGGTAGGTAATACATATATCGTAAATTACGTGTATAGTTGCAACTTCACACTATGTCGTGATATGATCCTTTTTTATTATATAAGTTGAAAATTTATTTTAGTTAAACCCAAAACGGATTCCCTGATGCAATTACTACGATACGTATATAGCGTATACGCTACGATTTATGAAATGGTAGTTTTATTAAGCTTCGCATCGCATTTGATGTGATGTCGAACGCACAAACGACGTCAAAGGCAAAATCTTTTTCCTACCTTGTCATAACCCGATAAAGTTTACATCAAACTTTTGGATATGACATTGAAAAAATAATTTCGATAAAGCAAAAATTTTATCCAATATTTCTCCATTCTATTTAACATTGGCATTTAGTATAGTAATCTGGGCTTAATTGGTACGTTTTAAAGCCTCACAAGAAAATGGAATTGATATTTCCATCTTTAAGTTAAATCATACTAAATCTCATGAAAATCGTTCCAGTGGTTTTTCCGTGATGCGGTCACAGATAGAAAAATTCTAAAAACTATAGATTCGGCCTCTGTCGATAATAATGAGTACTTATTTCAATAAGATTTCCCAAAAAATATTTAATGTACAGATTCGACTCAGTTAAAATTTTATTATATGTATGTACCATGTACATATCTAGTACTTTTAAATGAGCAATTCTTGTATATTTATTTATTTATTTATACCAGCGATTTCGGAAACGGCTCTAACAATTTTGCTGAAATTTGGTATGTGGGAGTTTTCGGGGGCGAAAAATCGATCTAGATTAGTCTTACGAGTATGTCCAAGAAAACGAGTGTTTTCGAGTTTTTGTGCGGTTCGAATTCCGGTCGGATACTAAGTTTTTACTTTAGTTTGTTTTATTTATTTAAGTTTTTTTTGTTTTTAAACTAAATTAAAAAGAAAATTGTACTCTTGGCCAAAAACTGCGAGCAAAGCTCGGTCGCCCAGGTACTGTTAATTAAAAAAGAATCTTTACAATCTACGAATACATCACACGAACATAAAACACCCAACAATATTAATAATTCACACATAAAATAATTTCTTAACAAAAGCCTATATCTTCGTTTACAGCTCATAGAACAGACGAACGACGAAGTATATAACGTGATACACTCGAAGTACGGTATAGACGCGGAGACAAGATACACTCCGGCGTACGATTTAGACGACTTAGCTCTTGTACGATACCTACGCGGGAGTTTGTTAGCCGCCATGTCTTTGCCAAGACTGGCTATTAGGCATTTGGAAGCCGTCTTAAAGTAAGTTTTATTTATCTTCCTAGGTATATTACATCAGTTGCCACATATGACTATTTTGCGTTTCTATTTAGTGTGCATTTACGAGTACAACTGAAGTGAGCAGGAATATCTAATATATAAAAATCTTGTGTCACGGTGTTTGTGGTCACGATCCTCTGAAACAGCTCGGCCGATTTTAATGAAATGTTTTTGTATAGTTGGTAGGTTTGAGAATAGATTGTAAAGTATTTTTCACCCTCCTACCCCCACCCCTATTTTTTAATCGCGATTTTAGTATTTTTGTATGAACAATATTATTCATATAATATTCTTCATACAAAATCATAAATACCTAAGTATATATCGCTGTATAACATAAAGCCAGAGTTTTTTGTAGATTGAACGCGGGCGTAGCCGCGGGTTCTGCTAGTTTTGATATAAAAATTTAATAGGAAATAATTTAAATTAATTAAATTCTTTATTGTTCAGGCACTTAAGGAAAATTGATGCTTAATAATAACAAGTTATTGTCTTAGATGTTGATGATTTCCCTTTCTTTTGTAACAAGAAAAACATGAACATTTCAACAACCTTGAAAATAAAAACTCGATTATATGAGAGTATTTATATTATGTATAATTTAAAGAAATATTACAATACTATATATTTTTTTCCAGAATGAAAGATGATATCAAAGATAACACATACCTGCTTCCGTACACGACGGTAGAGATCGCCATGTGTCACTATGGATTAGGAGATCGGTATAGAGCCGTGGAAATGTTACAAGACGCTAGGTATTTAAATACTTTCGTTATTACTATACATGTATTTTTCACTTAAATTTAATTAAGAATATGAAAAATTTATTGTTATGAAATAAAACACTATAAAAAAGAAAAAAAAATTTCAGAAAAAGATACTCCGGATATTTACTCGAGTCACGGCTGCATTTCCGCATACACGCTAAACTAGAACTCATCCATGCGGGGGCAGAGAACACCGTTATAGCTGGCACTACTGCGGGGGAAGTTGCTTTAGCAAACGTCCATGCTCTAAGAGCTGGGGGCAGAGAGGGTAATGGTAATGGGGGCTCATGAGGCCGGCAGCGGGGCAGGCGGGGCCTCTCCCGCGCTACCCTGCATGCCATGCGGTATTTCATCTGCCCCGTCTTTTACCCTGGTCATGGTGTAATCAGAAACGACATCTATGCGTATAACCGCTAAACCAGACTTTCAACCACACAAAGGTTGACACATTAAAAGTTGAATGATACATGGCTGGCCTAAAATGTTATATATTGGAATTTATTAAAGACTCTTAAATAGGACTTCTAGCTGTCAATTAAAACAATAATTATATATATATATATATATATATATATATATATATATATAGATATATATATATATATATATATATATATATATATATATATAACATATATATATATAACAATAATTATAAATATAAAATATTTATTTGTGGTGACAAGGTTTCCCTAAAAAAGTTTTCCTCTGGGAACTTGCGAACACAGCTGTCACTTCTTTTTTAACAGCAACAATTCTTATTACTTTATAATCTGTATTATTATATTTTAATGTATAGTTCTATGGACGCAGAGTAAATAGTGACCTTATCAGTGGACATTAGTTCTGCGGCGTACGGGGATCTGCCCACTGTTAATGCTTCGTGCGCAATGGCACTAGGTTTCGATAGTCATATTTATTATTTTTTTGTATTGACATAATATTATTCATGGTAAGTATTTATGGTAATAATGGGAACTCTTGCAATATCCTAATTCGAGAAAGACTTGACAATGTTCTAAGTCTCCGTCTAGCATTGAATCTTAAATAAATATTAAAATTGAATCCTTAAATAAATATTAAAATCAAAATTGTAATAAAATTCGATGGTGTTGTAATTTGTATGTTAAAACAATAAGTTGGTGTATACGACGTTATCAGCTATTTAATAGATTATGTATACTCGTAGTATAAATAATTCTTCGCTGTCAGCTGAGTTATTTGATAAACCTATAAATATTAAATAATATATTTTATATTATAAATTATATATGGTTATATATTTTTTAATGTAAATAAATGAAATAGATACATGTTTGTGATATATAACTTAATAGATGTAATTTATGTGATTAAGAACAAATTTAGTTTATAAACTTTTAAGAAATACATATTCATTTTTTTTATTTAAAATAAATTATGGCATTTCAAAAAAAATATTTTACTTTCCTATGTATTAACTACTATCGACTCACATATTGTTCCTATACATACTTTGATTCCCCATACAAACTTTCATCCCCATTTTCACCCCCTTAAAGGATGATTTCCGGTATAAAAACTATTCTATGTCCTTCCCAGGGGCTCAAACTATCTTCTTACCAAATTTCATCTAAATCAGTTCAGTAGATCCAGAGATTACCCCCTACAACGACACAAACTCACAAATTCACAAACTCGCAAACTTTACCTCTTTATAATATTCGGATAGATCATTCACAATCAGTGCCAGATTCAACCATACCGCGGCCCCTGGGCATAGTAAAAAATGCCACCCAATTATCGAAATTTTGCATAAAAATGGGTAAAGTTTCGATAAAGTTTTTTTTTTTAATTTTCATTAAAAAAAATTTAAATGCAAAAAAGAATATAAATGATTTAAATTTTTCGAAAAATGTACTAGTTATTTTTTTATTGTTTTTTTGGAAAATAAAAACAACTTTGTCGATAAGGGACCATCCATAAATTATGTCACGCGTTAAGGGGGGAGTGGGTTGTCAATGAAATGTGACATTGTGTGACAAGGGGTAGGAGGGGTGGGGGGGCGGAGTCATAAGCTTTGCTGTTCACAATAGTGTTCAATTTACACGGATATCATAGATGTTAAAATACATCCGACGTCCCATACAAAAAGTTGAACAATTTTTATTCGGACAATTCTAAGGGGGCACTTTATTTTCTAATAAAGATTATAGACGACGTTGATCCGCCAACTATCGAACTATTTTAATATTTAATGATATATTCTAAAACATAATAATTAATAAGTATAATTATTAATTATTATATATGTTGCAAAATGATTAAAATATAACAAAATTCCTTATTAACATCTCATAAGACACTACTAACTCATCGCCTAGTAATTTTTCAAAAATTACAAAAAACGACAAATTTCTATTTTTCCTTTAGCCCAAATATATTTAATACCATAATAAACATTTTCGGAATCTTTTTAACGTGTTGTTTTACAAAAACATCTTTACCAAATCTATACATATAAAGTCGTTTATTGAAATTTATTCGAACAGGTAGTTTCTCTTTATTCCTGATAAAACTCCGTGAAGTTATCGATAAATCAATAAAGTAATGAACAATATTATAATCACCACAACAGATAATGTTTTAATTTATCCATATAGGGTTTATAAGGAGAATACTTCTTGCTTCTAAGAAACGAATAATGAAAGAATATTTAAAAAGGTGTGCGGTCGGGGGACCACCGTCAGCAACGACTCGAATTTGATTATAGATATTCTATATTTTGATTATAGATATTTATAAATTTTCAAGGTAAAAAAAAGTGTTACGTCCCCTCCATGCGACTAACTTTCTCTCTCTTCCTCTCTATGCAATCTGTTTTTTTTATTTCTATCATTTTTTCAATGTAAATAATGCAAAGAAAGAAATAAAATCAAAGGGTTTCTTCAAATATTTTAGGAAAAATACTTATTTATATAAAATAGTAAATTATAAATAACTTTTAATCACTATAATATAAATTATTATAAATCACTTTCAATAAAATAGTTAGTAATAATTTTTGATTTTTTATTTTCACATATCGTTTGTTCATCGTTTGTTCTGGATAGTTCGCTATAAACAATTGTTTGTTCGTAAATTATTTATTTGTAAATAATTAAACATAAATGTACCCTCAAATAGCCCCCTCAAACGAAATTTATTATTTTTCTTGTTACTAATAGTCTTTAAATATCTATTAATGTTTGTTAGTTTTCTTGTTTGTCTTTAATTAAATATTTTCATTTAGATCAATTATTATTCAGATATATACTTGTGTTGCGCATACGTTAATTATATTTTCACGAGCGTAAATATACTAAATATTTAAACAATTTTCGAGTTATTATACAAAAATACATAAGTAAATTATTAATAACTGAAAATAGAAATACACATGTAAGAAATTTGAACATCATGTAATCTGTATTTTTTTATTTGTAATTACACTACAACTTGAACATAGTAAAAAAATAAACCTGGCCCAGGTTTGTGTTGTGTTTTGCATTTAAAATATAATTTCCGTGGGGCGCCATCTATTGCTATTTTATTAATTTACAATGAAATTGCAAAGCGCCATCTATTTTGAATGAACACGAAATAACACCATAAAACTCTTCGTAATCAACATTCCTATAGATGGCAGTACAATATCTATATTATTTCAACACAGCGCCATCTGCGCTTGCAGCGCTAAAAAATAATAACATTTGTTTTATTATTAGCATCCTAGATGGCGGTGACAAACATTAAATTGGTTACTCATAAAGAGACTTTTATCATACCACAGATTATATTATATCTAGCTCGATAGAATTTATAACACTGTTAAAGTACATAATGGCCTCTATCTCCCCCGCTCTTATGTCGGATGCCTCCCCAGGTCCCAGATTTTGTTGGCTTCTTTGGTACGAAGGCTAGCTCTAAAATAAAAAGTCGCTTTATTTCTAATTTGGTCTTGGCTACTGCTATGGCTTCTTAATTTCTATAGCAGGATTATTGCAATAGGTATTTTTTTAATTACTTGGTTACTTTAAGCAATATCTATTTAAATGCCTGTTAGTGAACAATTTATTGAATGAGGTTGATTTGCATTATTACATATTTCACTCCACTCGAGTGTATGGAATAAAACCGGTATGCTAAGGGAAATATTATTAATAAAAAAAAATATTTGAAACATTATAAAATAATTTTATTTGAGTTTATTTAATTATTAATTACATATTTGATCAACAAGATCACTGTTTTCATTATTGTAAGTAATAAAAATTGACCATTTTCAAAAGTTAACTTAATTTACGGCTTTGCCCCATACCTGGTTCATAACCGGGTACACCCACTTTTTATACACGACTTTGTCCCTTAACAAGGAAGCAATGGAACTCATCCAGTTCATCTAGGTTCCAACCAGTACAGCCTTCATGGGCCCATTCCTTACACCTAAAACATTGCAACCAATCATCATTTATCGCCTGAAACCTTTTTCTTTTTGAAAATTTTTCGAAAAGCGAGACGATATCCACATTTTCCGTCTATTACTTCTAAAGTGGCATTTTTCAATCCTTGCTTCACTAGGATTGTCGGTTCGTCGTTCTTTTATAATTTTGTGGCATTTTTTATGAACTGTAACAATGTATCATACAAAATAACATGAAATAAAAAAAATTATACCCGGTATTACCCCGTACGGTTTTACCCCCAAACTCATCGAAGAGAAACAAAGTAGTTAAATAACCTAAAAACGTGTCGCAATAAATATTCAACCAATATTCGTTTAATATTAATACATACTTCATCTTTACAACAAAAACAAATTCCACTTACCTTGATACACGAGATTATAGAACACCTTTGAAATCCGTCTCATATTATATCAAACCTCCGTAAAAACTGTTTTCTCGTACATTTCCAGCGAGCATGCACGTCATCTAACTTTTGTTGACAATTTTTTCAAGATGGCTGACTGCAAGCAACGAAGAATGCGAAAATCTGAAACACATTAGAAAGGGTAAGTGGATTCTGCGTCATCTTCATCCCTAGACGCCAGAGAATCACTGCGTTAGGTATTTTAACAATTTGCGCGGCATCAACCCAGAACTACTAGTTAGGTAATATCCACGTTTACTCGTGTGCTAACTTATTCTTCTTAAGCTACAATTTAAATTTGAATTTAATTTACACTTATTGTGAAAACACATAAAATTTGTATTAATATTATACCACAAAAAAAGTACGTAATACTGCAAATTGAAATTAGGGTGACCCAAGTTATACTCAATTTAGTTTGCTCACTCCATAAACGCAGTCCTTAAATGGGGAACGAAGGGTAACTATATTTTATAGTATACCCTTGAAAATAACATAGTTACTATGGAACATTTTACGGGAGCAGAGACTATACTATGCACTTGTGTAAAAAACAATGAAATCCTAAATTTTAGCCTCACGCTTAGAAAATTGCCTGAAGCCAGAATATGGAATATGGTTCACATTCAGAAAACAGTCGCTTACTTATAAATAACGAGTGAAAACCTAATAATTAATTATTGTACATGTACCGGCTAAACCTGATTTCAGCCAAACCAGATGTCCTAGGCCAAACCAATTCATCCAAAGTGTGTCAGGATATACTAGTATAGCCCAGGACAATCTAATTTGGCCTACAAATTTTACGCTTAACTATTTTGACCTAGGCCGAACTGATTTTGAGGTATTATTCGGGTTATTAAAAATAGCCTGGAGCAAATTTTTGGTGAAAACCGCCCTGGGTCGTGTTTGTTAATATGTTTTATGCTTTAAAAAATATAATTCGCCTGGAAAAAGAGTGAGAGGTCCACCAAATAGGTCGGGATCTTAGATGTCATAGTATTATAACAAACAATAATGATTTAGAATAATTATCATAATGTTTAAAACAGAAAACAAATAGTAATAGAACAATCATTGGTATAAGTGAATAAATATTAATAAATAAAAATAGCTAACGAATTTTATTATAATAAAGAAAAAAATAAGTTAAAATTATGCTATCTCTCTTTCAAGGGCAAGTGGATTAATGCCTAATAATACATAATAATAAATATAATTTTATTTTTATTATATATTTTTTTCTCAAAAATTGTAAATTATCGGTTAATACACATATAAAATTTTCTTCTTTCCTTGAAGAAAACAAGCGATATGTATGATAAAATCGAGAATAATAGCATAAACATCAAAACAGCAGGCAGACTCCACCTACATAATTCTTTATTCTGCGAGCAAAGTATAGGCACGGTAATGTAATGCATATTACCGTGGTATAGGTTATATCATACCAGTTTTCAATAAAATATAATAATAATTAAGCAAGTTGGATCTACATTAAGGGCTTATAAAAAGAATATAATAAAAACTAAAATATTCATAAAAAAGATAATCTACAGTAAATAAAACACAGAAAGTCAAACTAAACTTTACAAGCGCTCGGAGGATCTTCGTGCTGCTCTTTCAAGAGCGCACAAAAAACGCCAATTAAGGAAATAAGAAAAATAATACATATAGCATACTAGCGACTCACCCTCGCTACGCTCGGGTTCGTCCCTACTTACGTTTTAACGTTTAGTATAGATTTCTAAGAGATATTTTCCCGCACTAAAAAGTATTCTATATGTTAACCTACCGTTATACCAAATTTCATCAAAATCCCTCCAGTGGTTTTTCCGTAATGCGGTAACAGACAGACAGACAGACAAAAATTCTAAAAACTATATATTCGGCCTCTGTATCGATAATAATGTCTATTGCAATAACATTTTCCAAAAAATATTTAATGTACAGATTAGAATTTTATTACATGTATAGATAATTAATTAATCTCTCCACGACCGCGGACATGCCGCGCCGGCGTGTCAGTTAACAATAGATTTCTCAGAATTTTATATTTATTTCTTAGAAAGTTACCTGGAGGTCATGATTATCTTGCCATTCTTATCCGAGTCTATTCGCTTGGACTCTATAAAATAAGAAAAAAAGCAGCCATGAGGACTGCCGACAGAAGTGAAAACTTAAAACTATAAACAAACAGTTGTTATTTTTAGATTTTCAAATTGTTTAATCTTAAATTAAAACGTAAATCTCGTAATCTGAAATTTAAAAATTAAAAGCATTTTTTTTCATCATCTTACGATGAACATCATTGTGGTCATTTGAATAGTTTTAAAATAAAAAATAAAAAATTAAATCAAATTGTTGATCGAAGTCAATTAGTAATCCATTTTAATTATGAAATAATCGAATTATTTCCTACTATAAAAAAATATTATTAAAAGCTTTAATTAAATGATTTTTGATGATTTTTAATTATATAAATTATTTTCTTATGTATAATTTGAAGACTCCTTGTAAGCCACCTTAACAAAATACAATGCTGGTTACTACAAATGGAACATAGAATAACATAAATTTTTTACCTTGCATGATATCAGCAACAATTCAAAAAATCGTAGTTATGCAGATTCACAACACGCAAGCGCTATTATAGTATTTACTTTTAAATTGTGACCGCACCGTCCATAACAATTACTACAGATAAAATATAAAACTCTTGGCTATGAAGCGGTCTTAATCTTAACAAAAGGCTTGATCCCTACTATAGATTAGTGCAAAGCCGCAAGAGTACCTATTAATACAATATCTTTTATCAAGGATTAGGTAAACATTGAGAGCAATAAAAAGGTAAAAAAATATCGGCAATCACTGGAACACTAGTTGATGCTGCAAACGTATAAAATACTTTTTCTTTCGTTATATTATTGTTTTTATTGGATGAACATATAGTTCGTCCAATAAAAACAAACAATATCTTCAGCTTTATACCGGTGGGGCAAATAAAACCTACTAATGTTAAACACGGATAACTCTTGTAATAATCATTTATTTTGATTATTTTTTTATATATTTAATATATTTTATGGAAATTATGTATGAAATATGACATCAGATAAATGCCCACCATTTTTTGGATACAGAGATTGGCTCTTTTTCACGAGTTTTTCATTACAACTCGTAATGTTTCTGGTTGAAGGATCAGTATTTCGTCTCGAAAATCTTTCATTCTCTAAAAACTAAATAAATTAATCATGGAGGCTGTGGAAGTTGATCTTGAATTAAAATATTTCCGATATTTACACTGCGTCTGTTGTTTTGTACTGTATGGTTCCATAATAATTTCCAAGAAATCAATTACACCTAACCTACAAAAAGAAAAAAAAATTATTTAAAATAAAAAATAAAAAAATAAAAAAGTAATTTGTGTTTTACATCGATAGGTCTTATTTGGCCCACCTTCTTTCTTAATTAAACCTAATGAATAGAATATAGAAAGTTTCGGGGCAAAAAATGTCACACGAGTACTGTAAATTATATACGCATGATTTATAAATTATATCAAACACGCAATTCACCTTTTATCCTTAAAATTATTATTCTAAACATTCTACCGGGATTATTGACATTTAAAAAGAATATAGTAATGGAGTAACATAAAACCTTCTTGGTGTAATCTAATTTGTGAGCATGGCCACCTTAACCAAATAATTTGACGCGTTCGAAATTTAGACGCACGTCAAAGCAGTCGACAGACAAAAGAGAACCGATCCATCTAACCATCGACCCGACCGGCAGTATCTGTAATTCCATCCAATAGTTCCAGCTTATATTTATTAATTAATATAAAACATGAATGAACAACTGAAAACTGTGTCCGCTATGAATAAGCTGTATATAGGCAACCTCCCGACCCAAGCCGATGAGGAAGCTGTGCGGCAGCTGTTTGCGGAGCATAACCTGACTGCAGCAGACATCTCAGTTAAACGCAGTGGCTATGCATTTGTGGATTTTCCCGATCAATCCGCTGCTGATCGTGCCATCGACAAACTTCATGGTAAATAACTTAATGTAACTACATAAAAGTATAACATTTCCCTTTAATAGCACGTAGGACAAATGTTTTGATTACAGTACTATAATCATATCGTATTACCAACCTCAAAGGGAACTTATGATAGTCTAGTAGGAGGACATTAGTGACTCTACAAATAAATATTAAACAATAATAAAATAATAATGGAAAGCAAAAGTGTCCATGGGATTTTTATTTTTCTATTTTCATTCTATATACCTAGTTAATTTACTAATCTCATAATTGAAATGCCATTTATACTTATTTCAAATTATTATTTGTACTTAAAAAAATATTTTGCGTGTTGCGATACTAAATATACAGGAAGGCAAATTCTAAAAACGGTTCTACAACATCTGTTAAATACATATAGGTACCAAATGTCACCTGAACAATTTTTTAACAAAATTATACTTAACGAACATTTAATGTAAGTATATTATAATTTCACTAATTGAAAGTATGTAGTACTTATTGTTATAAACGACATGTTTAATTAAGACATATGGACAATTGTATACATATTTTCCCTCAGGCTATTTATATTGCGGTCTACCCCTAATCGTCGAACCTTCTGTCGCAAACAAGAAGATGTAAGTAATTATTTTTGTTTATATAGAACAAATAATTTAATAAAAAGCAAAAATGTTGATATTGTTTAAACAAACTAATTGAAAGTATAGCATAAGTCATTGAACATTTTTGCTCAGTATTTATATGAGTTTGTAATAAAAGATAAAATGCAACTCAATTGATTAAGTGAATGAAATGAGTCAGTTGTTTGGTTGGCAATGCGGGTCACGCGGCCAGGGAAGGGTTACACAAGGCGCCCGCAGGCATCTCGATCTTTCTGCTGTGCTCGCCGAGTTTCGCAGAAGGTCGTGTGTTTACCTGCTCGGATTTTACAACACATTGTCCGCGCTTAAACAATGCCCCAATGAAATTCTAAACTTTCTATGACTTCTTTTCTAGCTTTTCTGGAATCTTTTTCACGTGACATTTTACATTAACGTCTGGAATTCATTGTCAACGTTAGAGTTAGGTAGTTGTTTGATTTTTATTATACTTTAAGTTATTATTACATAAGATATAAATAACTCTTATTACATAGAAAAGAATGTGATATAAATAGTTAATTAAAAACGCCAATATTATGTTTGTAGTGTGAACGCGCCGATCTTGCAAAGTGCCAGCGCCGTACAATTAAAGGAAACCAGCACTGATTCGTCGACTGCAGGCGGTGGTTGGCGGTAAGTACCCATTGTACACGCATCTCTACGGCGTTGCCTCGATACCGCAGACATAATAAAGTTACGTACAAAAAAGAGACATATTTCTCTCTTTAGATAAAATTGTTTTTGCTTAAAATGTTATTAATTGACTATCGAGCACAATCGTGATTTTTCATCGTGTTCAAATCAACCGGTGGGCACAAAGAGCACGCCACCCTCGCGGAGGCTGCGGCGGCTCAATTGGACCACTTGTTGCGCGTCCGCTTACTCGCTCTTTTCGTACTTGTTGCCGCTGCCTTTTTGACGCATTGTTCTACGCGTTCTTTGATTTTTGATACCAATGCCGTTGTTATATTACTTTCCTTTTGAATTGGCCGTGATACCCTTCGTTAACGAGAAATTATAATATGGAAAATGTATAAGTAAATGCATGTATACTGATCATGCAGTATACCTTTTTTTGAATGATTACCTTTATTGTTAGCTGGTAATTTTTGTTTCTTGTTTACATATACATAGCATAATACTTTAAATGTTTTATTTAAAGCTTATTATTTTTTATTTAAGAACAATGTTATCTTATGCATTTTTCAAGTTTAAGATGTTAAGTAATTATTGTTATTTACTACCTTTTAAGAATTATGAAATTGTGATCGCCATTAATAGGTAGGTTAAGCAAGATTTTAGTGACGCTATCACAAAAGTAAAGAGTGATGAAACTAATTCATTTTTAAATAGGTACAAACAGTTGACTGAATCGTGGTGTTTGCTGATTTAGTCGGACACGTGAATGTGCCTCGTTTTCTTGAAGTCTTTTAAAGTCGGCAACAAGTTTTAAAAAAGGGGTTCGCCTTCTCTACACGTGTTTTCGGCAAATGTTAGTAATCGTCGCAGATGTAATAGCGGTCGTGAGTACCTCGCCGACCGGCTTATATCTACGCCCTTTTCCGCCGAGGACCCCCTTCCCTTCCCCCTTTCCGGCGTCCCTCACCTCACGGGAACGTTGCGTAACATCTCAAATCGCGACCCCAGCAGGGGTAGCTCTTTTGTCATCTTCCAACTGAATTTAATTTAAAAGCTAGGACCGTTGCAGAATGTCGGATTTCTCTCATGCTATTGTGTCTGTTCGTTCTTATCTAACGGTTAAATGTATTTGGATCTTTTTTATGCGTTATAATCGCGCTCCTATCGACTCAACATAATGAAATATCTAATGCTCTCTCACGTTTAATACGAGGGGAGCCTGCCGGCACGTCAATGTATCTAGGTACCTACTGTTACACTTTGTATTTGAAATGAATCATCGTTCAGGGCCAAGAATACAATACTTCAAAATCATTGATGATATGCGCTGATCACAGGCTATCACTGAAGGTGCAAATAGGAGCGTAAAAAGTTGTGAATCGGGCGTATGGTAGGAACGTAGACCGTAGTGAGCGTAGTAAAATAGCATGCTTGCATAGTAGGCGCGTGGGCGCTCAGGGCGCGGGCCCGTGGTGTGGGGCGCGGGGCGCCTCGCGGCCACGTGGCGCTTCTCGCGATCGATGCCAGCAGTCACGCTGCACCGCCCGTAGCCCCCCCGCCGTCCCGCACGTCCCGCGCTCCGCCTCCCCCACCGTCCCGCACCCCGCACCCCGCACCCCGCACCGCCCCAGCTGCCGCGGCGACGTGCCCGACCTAGCTTGCTGCTTGAAACTTTCATTAGAATTTAGACTTCAATTTGTGGTCTTCTTGTTGCTTAATAATTTAACCATGCGTTTAAGTTCCACCTTAACTATTTATTTATCCACAAGCATCATTATACTTTCAACAGAGTGAAACCTTAACTTTTATCCACGTTAAAAATCCTTCAAATGCTTAATTGGCTTATACGTGACTTTCACATGGTACTAAAATTGATATAATTTAATATTTAATTTCTCACTAGTAGGTACAGGTAGTTATTTACCTGATAATAAGTATTATAATATACAAAGTCTGCCGGACCGCGGACCGTCGTCGTCGGACATGAGACATCCTACAAACTAGAATAATTTCTACTATAACTATACACACATGATAATCCTTATCGGATTAAACTAACCTCAATAGTAAGTAACTCAGCATGCTAACGCTTTTATTACACTATTATTTTATTCTCGATAGAAAATAATTTAAAAATATTCTTGAAAATCTGATTTAAATATTATTAGAAATACAGGCAAATCACAATGTACCTGTTAATATTATTATTATTTACACATAGATACTTAATTTATAAAAAATATTTACGAATGCTAACGGCATGGACACAGCTATAAAATGTGTGAATAGAAAATTTGAAATTTGAATAACACAAGGAAGTTAAGTATCCCTGTAAGATGTTCATTGTGTACTATGCTATAGGTGGAATGTGGAGCATCATTGTTATTAAGGAACTTGCTCTTGAAGGATAAGGTATTCTACGTAAATTATAACTTCGACGTCTCGAATTAGAGATCGCCAAATTAGGGTAGCGTAAAGAACCCCTTGTATAACATTGTATCATCTATATAATGATATGAAAGCCTACAACAAACTAAGTAATAAATTGTCTTTTTTTCCCCGCGCTCATAGGTCTACATTTAGTTAAAAAATATTTGCTTTAATAGCCGCCTATTCTAGATACTTCGCCCCCTTGCATATTCTTCAAGTTTACAATCTTATTACTTAGAGGGTTGCTTACGAATATATTTTTAAAAGCAATTGCCGCACTCAATAGGCCCCTTGTTTGAATATTTTATGTATGGCAATTGAATTTTTAGTCATCTTCAACCATGTGGGTAATGTTAAGTTAAATACAACAAAATAATATAACAATAGTATTTAATAGATTTATGATTTGTAATCGTTACTTGCAAAAAGCGTAAATATTGAATTATCGAGTAAAACTAATAATTGAAAGCGAATTATGATGTGAATATGCAATGTCCATAGAAACTGTAACAGAGGCTCAGGTAGATAGATCAAAGTTTCTTAGAACGCGTTACCGAAAGCTATTTAAATAAGAATCGCGATCGATCTTTAGATTGCGAGAATTGGCCAACTTAACTAGTTTTGAAAACTGAATTAACTATTTGAATAACATCAGGGTTATTTTTATATGTAGATAGGTGTAAGATAAGTAGGGTTTTACATATTATTTAATCTCATAAAGACGTAATCTATTTCTAATTTTTTTTTCGTGATTTTTTAAATAGTAGGGGAGCCCAAGAGGGGATTTTTGTAGTTACTCAAGCGCGGCAGATTAACATGAAAGAGGTTACCTTGCACTCTATTGAGTAATTTCACCATAATATAAGTCTTCTATATAAAGGGGCGCGTCTAGGGAAGCTGATTAAAATATTTAAAAAATGTTTTGATAAGGTAGAAATACTTGAAACCGTCAGATTAAGGTGTAGTAGGCTAGTCACATCCTGAAAAGAGTCCAATTCAATAATCTGCCGATTTGCACAAGCCGAAGAGGCAAAAATCGACTATAAAGTTTATGATGATTTTTGCCTACCTTAACCTGACGGTTTCAAGTATTTCTACCTTATCAAAACATTTTTTAAATATTTTAATCGGCTTCCCTAGACGCGCGACTTTATATAGAAGACTTATATTATGGTGAAAGTACTCAATAGAGTGCAAGGTAACCTCTTTTATGTTAATCTGCCGCGCTTGAGTAACTACAAAAATCCCCTCTTGGGCTCTCCTACTAAAAGGTAAATTTGTTATGTACTACAAGTGATTCTATTTATTCTCTAGAGTAAGTACTCGGCAGTAGACATATAAATGCAAACATTATAACAAACGACCCCGCCCTCACTTCACTCATGGGTCACAAATTGTTATGAATTATATATCAGGTAAATTTATAAAAATAAAACCAAATAAGTTGTTTTTATTTCGCGGACTTTGTATGGTTATTTTTGTCATGCATAATTTTTACTATTAAAAGCGCCGTTTAGACAGCGCACGAAACACTGCTTTTTTAACGTGCTAGACAAAAGCCATGACAGCTCTACAAAAACACCCAATACAAATAATATAATTTATACCTTAAATACTTGACTATCTTTCTACAATATGCAGCTAATATGAATGAAAGTCACGTAAATTAAGAGTTTTTTATGTTGTTGGTACATTTTATATCATTTCCCTAAAATATTTTATAAATTCGCCATATTATCATGGGTAACTACTCGTGTATCCTAAGGGCTAAGACTATAATTTCTATTCAATGAAAAAAAGAGAATACGTCCGTTAAATAGAAAACAATAATATATCTTAGAAAATTATTACAATGTTTTCACAACAAAAAAAATCTACTGATTGGGATCGCTTTCAGCGCCGGACCTAATCCCTAATCAGAGCGAGATTGTCTTTGAGCGCCTTTGGTCAACGTTTTCAAATCACATAAATTGTATTTCAGTTTATGTTAAGTAAAAAATAAATTGCCAACTTAAAAAAAAACCTACTTTAATTTAAAAATTCTACACTTATTGAATTGTTTTTTCGCATTCGGCATTTTGCCACCTCTTGCTACCTGGCGTCTAGTGCGACTGCTCCTCTCGCTCTACCCCAGGGCCGGCGCTGTCCGCTACAACTTTAAAAAGTCTAATTTAGTATGTTATGTTTTATTGCCCGTTAGAACGTCTTTATCTTATAAACTAAATAAACTCTGTTTTCTTGTGACTACAAGTAATTTTGCTCTGCCAAGTAGATAATTACCTACTTTAAGGGAATCAGTATATTATCCTTATGAGATTATTTTTAGCTATGTATTACCTAACGACTTGACAACGTTAGATACTAGTTAGAGTAGGTACTACTACTGAACATTATTTTAATAACGTTTAGGACCTAATAACTACATAACTATGTTGTACATCTTGGTGAAAAGTTAAAACTGATTAAATGTTCATTTCGTAACTACAATAAATTCTACTATATCAAACATTTTTTGTTTTAAGTCAATTAAAATATTGTATACTAGCGGCTCACCCTCGCTTCGCTCGGGTTCGTCGCTAGGTACGTTTTAAATAGATATAAAAAGAAAAAATCTTTCTTTCTCACATTTTAATTATATGTTTTAATACTTACCTATTCCGGACTAAGAGAAATCCAAAAATTAAAATATCATAAAAATTGGAACGCGGTCGAACGGGATAAAAAGTATCCTATGTCCTTCTCCTGGCTCTAAACTACCTCCCTGCCAATTTTCAGCTAAATCGGTTCAGCCGTTCTTGAGTTATAAGCGAAGTAACTAACACGACTTTCTTTTATATATATAGATTTCTAAAATTTTAATAAAGTAAATCACTATGGAACTGTACAAGCGATTAGGTGTTCACTTTACTCGAATACTAGGTTAGGAACACGCCAATTTGAATCTACCGAATTTTGCCCCCATTTCGCTTTCGTGTGTTTGGATTTGTTTTGTGTGACGTAGCGCGCTCATTAGTATATATTATGTAACTTACACTATAATTACATCATTTGCCTTTTAATTTCCACGCTTTTCCTTTTATTAAGCCCAAATTAAAACGAATAAGATTTTACGAATTTAAAATGCGTGCTGGGACCATCTTAAGTACCTATATAAAGCTTAATTCGCTTAGCTTGATTCCCCATACAAACTGTCATCCCCATTTTCACCCCTTTAAGGCTATTATTAATTATAATAGCCCAAGATCCCAGGGCCGGAAGACGTCACGTATTTTCTGACGAACGAAATGTAGGCGATTGGTTAGTGTTAGTATGTACTAAGATCGCATGCCTACCTGATAACTTGGTTAGACGGCCAATTTCCAGGTATCAGGTAATCAAGACACTTCAAAAGATTACTTACCTCACGTACATTCATCTCATTCATCACGTACATAAAAATAAGTCGTCAATACTCCCAGACACTTTCCGTCGGCCGTATTGCTTTGCAGACGCTTTATAGGTCCCAAAATAACGTAAATTCTGATGCTTCATTTTTATATATGTTCGCCAGACAACTATTTTAAAACCTTTTACAAGAAGACAGACCGATCCAAGGGGACAATCACCCCCTAAACTCAATTTTCCTACCCACAGAGGCATTTGTTTCTTTTGAGGTACCTTGATTACCTGATTGATACCTTTTTTTTTTTAACGTTGGGAAATGCATTAACGCACGACGTGTGGGACTCACCGGCGTAATACAGCCAGTACTACCCACCAAAACCCAACAAAACCTTCCCCCGCCTTAATGGGGCGTCGCAGGATCGCTTACGCATTCAACTACGACGCCCCGACGGCAGGTCTGCCAAAGCAGACCACCACAACCATGGGGTTGCTTCAAGGTCCACTCTGCTATCAGAGAAGTACCAGGAGCAACCCGCAAGGTACACCGCCCCCCGAAGAGGGCCACCTACCACCGCCCACCGAAGTGGGCAACCTCCCTGTGCGTTTCTTAGCTTCGCTACTACTACTGAGCCCCCCCACCACGACAAGGTGAACGCACGTTGGGGGGGACCTGATTGATACCTGAAAATTGGCCGTCTAACCAAATTAGCAGGTAGGCATGCGATCTTAGTACATTCTAACACTACCCATTTGTCCACAATTCGTTCGTCAGAAAATACGTGACGTCTGGCGGCCCTGGGATCTTGCTCTATAATATTAGTATAGATTTATAGAAAGTAGGTCTAAGAATTTTGTGAGTTAAAA